AAAAAAAAAACTGCAGGTTATCCAAGAGGCCGCAGCAGAGAATTAGCAAGGGCCTTCTCAACACAAACTACGCAATGCTCATACCCATGCTAGGGTCATGGCACCCCAAGTATGGTGTTGATTCACATTGAGGTCCATGTTTCAGCAGTTATGGGACCACTGAGCATGCCATTTTCTGGGCAGTAGCAGGCCAACTCACCACGTGCTTTTCAGGGCCTCCCTCCACTACTCACTAAATGTGCAAAACCAGAATGAATATTCTGCTAGAACATGGAACCATACGCTGCCATATATTTTGTCTTTTGTGCAAGTGGTGAAGAGTGGAGCAAGGCCCTTAGGGCCACTGCGCGTAGGAAAACGAAGCAAAAGAAAGAGGGAGCTATGGTAGTAAGTAGTTGTAACTTGTAACCCATAACTGCTGGAAAAGAGACCTGACTTCGGATCCAGAACATATATTGCTGGCCTGCTTCACTCTCACACGAAATTTGCTGAATGTCTGTTAAGACATAGGGACCCTTGCAGATGCACTGCTGGGGTCCTTCGAAAAAAAGACTATTCAACGAGGAATACGTGGCCCCAATTGTTTTTTCTGTGCCCTAAGATTTTTTAGAAAGGAGGGGCACCACTACCTTAGCCAGCCCTCTCCGATTTATTTTTTTAGCCTATTGATTGGGGTGCGCCGCATCACGTGGGCATGAATGCTTGCGCGTGCGGTATGCGCTGTACGTGCGGAGCTTGTGCGCATGTGATGCGCCGCAGGTATGATTCATTGTCAATTGAAAAAACAAAAGAGATTGGCCTGTCGGCGGTTGGGGAGTTGGGGCAATGCGGGCGAGAGGAGTAGAGGGGGAAGAGAGGAGGGGGGAGGGCTGAGAGAGCGGAAGGCTGGCGAGTTGCATTCACACTCTCTCCTGCCTCCCGCTTCCTCTCCCCTCCTTCCACCGCCTTCTCTTTGCCCTCTTTCCTCCCTCGCGCCCTCTTGGGTCCACTTGCTATTACTAATATTTACAGTAATAATTTACCGTAGAAAATATATATATATATATCGTCAAATAGAACTGCCCGGTAAACCGTAGGCAGAGAGGGAGAAGAGGACAACAAACGAGGGGCTGTGACAAACTGTTTCGTCGGAGTTTCACCGACTCATCAGGAGGCTGAACCCTCAACAGTCT